GGCGTTTGATCTCCTCCTTTACTCGTAGCTCCACTTCTACTAGCATTCTCCTGGCGGGCTGTTAGTGCGGTCTATAATTTAGCTTTATAAGAAGCTTGTGTTCGACCAACTACTTAGCCACCCCTGGCATTTTATCATAGTCCCATGCAAAGCAGTCCTTAAATTCCAGCAGTGTTAGCTTGATGGCATCTTTTTATTCTTTATCTAGTAGTGAGCTAATGAATGTGATCCTTAGCTTTTCTGAGGATCTGAGGTTTACTTCTTCTAGTAGATCCTGGACCTCTGGGGCTATGTCTTTAAATTTTAAGGGTGCAGGGTCTAGCTTGTGCAGTTGTGCTACTTTTTGGGTTTCATCTTCATATACAACTTCAGTGCCGTAGGTCTTGGGTCCGTAGTCTTCTAGTTTCTCTTGTATATTATGCAACCATAGCTTTTGGATGGCCATAGCTACTATGGCCTTTCCTCTATTTGTTTTGGTTATCAATTAGTTTTATGATGGGCTAACGCCTCTATGAGGTTAGAGGCACTATAGGTTCATTGTTGTTCTATATGAGAGGATTCCTTGAGGCTTTCAAAATGTAAACTGGCCCATATCAGCGTCATAATGAATTGCATCCACAAAGTTAGTGGCTGCTGTGAATGGCTTGTCTTCAGCCCACACCACTTCTACCTCCTCTCCTTTGCACATAAGGAGCATCTAGTGCAATGAACGTGGTATGCACTCATTAGCATGGATTCAATGTCGTCCTAGGAGGGCCTAATATTGTGCTGTGGTGTTGATCACAAAAAAGGCTATCAATGATGACTTGGTCTCGACATCAACTTGTAATTGTAGTACGTCAAGGACTTTCGATGCGATCCCAGTGAACCCTACAACTAATACCTCAGTTGGTATCAGATCATGATCCTTTTATCCCATCTTAATCATCATGCAGGCTAGCAGAATGTTCATCATCGAGCCATTGTCAACGAGGACCCTAGTCATTAGTCTCCCATCGAAATGTGCCCTGATGTATAAAAGCTTCAAGTGCTGAGTCATCTTCACACTGGATTTCTCCAGGATAACCCGCTTTGGTTTTCCTTCTATTGCTTGTAAAGTGATTTAGCAGACAGGCTCTGCAATCTCTCCTTTTTATGCATGCATGCTTATAAACTCATACTCTTCTTCTTCTCTCAGCTCTATTAGGCAATATTGATACGAGTCGTCTACATCGATCCCGAGGAGTTCTGTTTTTGCTGGCCCTAGGTATTACCAGTGGTGGACCGAAATTGAGAAAGAAGTGTTAATGAGACCACACAGTAGAGGTTGAGCGGTATCTCTCCAACGTGAATGATCCCATCTTCTAATTTTTAGCCTCGCTTCATTCATCCTGATTCTCAGTGGACTTCCTTCTAAACTTGCTAGCCTCCTGTTGAATGTCGGGGCTATCCTATACCTCAGTTTTTTATTGTTCGAGGTACCTCTGTATAGCCCATTTTCATTGAAGACGTCACTTCTGGATTCTCCTTAAGGCAGCTGGGAACTTCTTGTGCCTCACAACTCTATTTCAGAAGCGGCATATTGCCAGGCGGCATAACAAACCTGACCGAGCCCTTAGCGACTTTTGGTTTTGAAGGAACCTTTGTGTTATTTTCTAATGGCATTGATGGCAGTAACGGTAGGCTGTCGAGGCCTATAACCTAACCCGTTGGTGTCCCTGTGAATGATTCACCTGATCCAGGGGATGCTGAGTACTTTATAAAGAAGTCGAATCTACCAAATAGTTTCCTTAGGTGGTCATAGTCCAGCTTAGATCCATTTGGTTCTGTCATTACTAATCCCCCAGGGCCAACATCCCAACCTAAAGGTCGTTTGTCATTTTTTTCCACCTTCTGCTAACTGTCTCCATTATGGATTTCCCCCAAGCGGTCCTAAACTACTTTAGAGCCATCTGGGCTTTTCATGTTTTGGTCCTCTGGGCCTATGTCCCATTTAGAAGAGCTGTTCTTACTGGACCGGCTTGTAGGTTTCCCCAGGTGGTCCCATACTGTCTTAGAGTTTCCTTAAGTTACTTTATCCATATTCCAGACGTTCCAAGGTCTCCCATTCTTCTGCTGACCATCACTTTTCTTGGGCCGCATTTACTAAAGTTTATCTCCACCATGTTGACCGTAGCAAATGGGGGGAATAGGTCCTTATTTACTACCATGGATTCTTCCTTAAGGAATTTCAGAACTCCCTTGTTGATCCAATCCTGGACAATGTTCTTGAATTCCTAGCATGCCTTAGTGCTGTGGCTCCGCAAGTGATGATACTTATAGTATTCCTTCCCTCTTTGTTCTTCCTTCGAAGGAATTTTATGATCCATAGGCAAGGAGATAAAGTTTTCCTTGAGGAGAAAATCAAAAATTTTCTCTATTTTAGTAGTATCAAAGGTGTATTGAATTACCTTCGATCTTTTGGGCAGTTCTCCGGCCTTCCTTATCAGAGCTGGGCATATGTAGTTACCAACATTCTTCAATTCTGCCACTGCTACGTCTAGGTCCCCAAAATAGGTCCCTACTGTTGTCCATCGGTGATGGTCCTCTTCCTTAAGTAGTTCCTCATAACCCCACACCTTGGCCGCGAGCTCATAGAAATCTTAAAATTCCATCCCTTGCAATTTCTTTTAGAGCTGTATATCCAGTCCTGCCTGTGCCAGCTTGACAAATTTAGTTTTTGAAAGCGGCATGTGGCACCTACTCCTCAGACATTTGAACCTCACCAAGTATTGGTTTGCTGTCTCTCCAGCCCGTTGTGTGAACTTGTAGAGTTTTGCTATGCTGACCTTTGGCTCTACTTTATAGAACTGGATGTGGAACTTCTGTTCTAACATTTTCAAGGATGTTGCAAAGAACCTTTAGTTCTCTTTTAGCTACTTATCCATTCAGTTTTAAATTCCCCACAGCACTTTTGCCACAAGTCAGTGGGTTAGGTTGGCCACTTCCTGACTTTGAGCTAGGGCTCATGCTGTTGCTACCTGTTGTCATCGACATTATGTGCTCACGATATTCAGCTGCTTCAGCATCGAGCGATAAGTGTTCTGATCCTGCGTGCACAGAGATCCCTTCTCATTCGTGAGAACCAACACCTGTTTCATCAGTCATTTTGTCTTTTTGCATCCTTGCCATCTTTGTTACATAGGTCCCATCAGGCGTGCTAGAAATTGTTCGTAGTTGAGCAATAAATACCAGGCGTGCCAGAAATGCTGAATTTCAATAGATAATGAAAAGGGTCCCAAGTTCCCTTACCATAGTTTGCTCAGATGTAAAAAGATACAAGGCTTTGGTAGAACAAGTATATGATTTTATTGAAGTGTAAAAGATTACAGACTAAAACTACAAACTGAAAAGAGCTAATGAATGTAAAAATGTGCGAGTCTTGATTGAGTGTTGACTACCTTCTCTATTTTTTTTCTTCTTTCTATTTATAGTGTCGAATTGCAGAAGCATTTCCCTTAGGATTTAGCACATTCTGCCAAAGAATCAAGAATCTCGCGAAACTTATGGCACAGTTTTTCCATTTTGATAACTAGCCCATTTCACCAAACTACTTAGGTGTAGATTTTGGCATTACTTAGAATCTTGTTTTCATGCTAACGATCTAGTATTTGCAGCCGACAGGATTTCGACATATTTTCTTATTGTAGACTTTACCAAATTTCGAGGCCGACCCCTTTTGTTTATATTGGGCCTAACGTTTTGATTATTTAGTCCAACTAATCTTATAACCTATTTAAGCGATGTTTCATATTTAACCCAAACACATTTTTTTTAGAATAAAATATATGTGATGGAGTGCCCTATTGGTTGGGATTGAAAAATAAAATAATGACTAAAATGCATAAATTTTCTTCTTAACTTCGCACATGACTATAAGATAATAATTAAAGGTATTGTTAGCCTTAATTAGTTTCTAACTAATTATGAAACTTTCTATAACAGCCTAGCTTATTACATGCGCTGGTGTCTTACATGTATATATATACTTTTGTGCTTAATGGAAGAGATATCAGTCAAATCATTCATACACTTTTGTCTTCTTCCTTTTCTCTCTTTATTTTTTAAAATTTAAAATTAATTCATTAACTTTTAATTTTATTTTTAAAAACCCTTACCATTAATTATATTATTTTTTATAAAATTTAAAATGTTATTTAACTAAAAATGCTATTAAAAAAGAATAATATATTATAAAATTATTTATAATCAATTTTTTATTTTTTTTAAATAGTTGAGGCATTTGTAGTCAAAAAAAATATGATCATTATATTACTCCCTCCATTTAAAAATGTAAGATATTTTTTTAAAAGTTAAATTAAAAATATTTTTAATTTTTTAAAATATAATCATTATTTTTTTAAAAATATCATCAATGACTTTATATTTATTATAAAATATTTAACAAAAATAAATATAACAAAATAAAATTATTTTCAAAATAAATAATTATTTTATTAAAAAGTAAAACAATTAAAAATACCTTACCATATAATATATTACCACCCTTTCATCATACAATATTTTGTTGAATAACATTTTTTAATTTCATGATATTTTAACCTTTATAAAAAAATAAAATAATTAACAGTAAAAACTTTAAAAAATAAAATTAAAAATTAAGAGTTAATTTTAAATTTTTAAAATTAAAAAAATCATATATAATTGCTCGAAATTTAAAAAAATTAATTTTAAATTTTAAAAAATGAGAAAAGTGACATGTAACCAAAAGTTAAAGGTTTTATATAGTGAGCAAGAAATAATATATATATATATATATATATCCATAATTTTTAAATATTGATATATTTCATTAAATGAATGGATTAAAAATTCTGCCCGAATCCAAGTCAGGAACAAGACGGCAAGACACCAACATAAATTTAACAGTCATAATATTCAGACTTCATTGACAGAAACTATTACTTATGAAAGATCAACTAATCCTTACTTTACCATAAAAACATACCCTGGAAACAGTTCTCATTGTCTATAGACCACAGACCGTACGAGGTACATTTGTTTGTTTTATCTCTAGTCTTACGTTGATCAAAAGATTATTTTTTCCCCCTTTTTGAAACGATTAAAAAATGGAACCCGCATCAGTAAAGAAAGATGAGGTCTCTCACAGACTGTAACAACGCAGTTTAAAAACATATAATAAACAAACCACAACCAGCCATGTGAGTGGCATGAATGAATTCTCTGAAAGATTCTGCTCATGGAGAGAGAAAGAGAGAAGGAGGTTGAACAGTTGCCCAATGCACATTTCAAGTTACTGTTTGCTAAATTTGTGCCTTTACTTATTGCATTTTGCAGGACCATCAGAAAAGGATGTTCTCCACAGTTCCCATCTCTAACATCCCTTTCTTTCTGTTTTCCAAAACAGTTTCAGTTCATCGTCCACTCCATCATCATCATCATCATCTCCTCTCTCTTCTTGACATGACAAGCTTTGCTTAAAACCCTCAAAAATGATAAAAACGACACTCACTATCCCTTTTCCTTCCCAACTTGTTCTTAATCTATACCTTCCTCTTATAAACCACGTAGCCAGTCCATGTGTGTTCTCTGGGTAAGAATGAATGTCTCGGACAAAACTCATTAATGAATAGATAATGTAAAGAGAAAAGTTGATAAAGTACAAAAATTTAAATAATAATAATAATGATATTCATAATAGTTTTTTTTTTTTGGGTGGAAAAGGAGGGGTCCCCATGCGGGAAGGGAAATCACAACAGATTGGAGGATCTTTAACCAGAAGTGACGCAAGCTACACAGTCACCAAACTCGGCTAAACTATCCTTTCTGCTTACCTCTAATGGCTTCTCGGAAATGTTGGGCCACATCTATATTGAGGACCTTCTGGCTAAGTTCGCAGCTTTTTTTCTCGAGCCTCGTTTGGCTAGTTGCTTCTTCTTTCTGTAACTTGACTTGATCATAACATGTCATATAGCTCCGACCCCGAGAAAGTCGATGAATGGAGGAGGACGACGACCCAGTACTTTATCTCTGTTCTCTGATGACGATGCTTCAACGGAAGAAACATTGGCGGCCATGGAATTTGGTGAGCAGCTGTGAAAACTGGGATTTGTGTTTGAGCTTGACTGTGGTGGTTGTTGCATTGTCGGCATCATATAAGAGTTGAAATTATCTTCTTGGGGATAGAAGAAGCCATTAAGAGAGTGAAGTTCATATTCACTTGGCCTGCTTTCCCTATAAATGCTCTGCCCGAAAGCCCCTCCCACCATGTCAATGCCTCTACCACCTGCAAATTTCAGCCCGGAAAGTGAATATAGATTCACATGCCTGTGTGTGTGCTTTTTGAGATCACATCATAAAAAGAAGCTTGAAAAAGTTAAGATCTTGAAACCACTAAAACCTACGAGAGAAATCTAGGTAGTGCTAGACCAAAAGTGTCAGTGTCATATCAGCAAGAAAACCAAATGTAAATCTCTTATATGCAGGATTTCTGTATGGTTGATCTGATCCCAAAAAGAAAGGTGAAAACTGAAAAGAAAAAAGGGGAAAGGCCAAACCCGGGATGACATCAAATGATGAACGATGATGAGCATAAAAGGCCGTGTGAGGATGAGGGGCCAGCTTGCTGCTGCTGGAGAATGCTTCAAATCCAGCAGTCATGTAGGGTGGAGCATTGAAGCCATAGTCAACCCCACCATTAGCTCCACTGAACTGACCATATGGGAAACTAGCCATGATGTTATTATGGGGGACGACACAATAAGGTGGAGGTTGTGGGGGTTCTGTCCCTGGGCTGCCTCTACTTGATATGCCTACTAAGCTCGAATTTTGGTCCTCCAAGGATGACCTTGTGAAACTTGCAGATTGGCTTAACCTTCTCCTCCGGTAAGCACTGGATTGTTCTCTGTATTTCCTGGCCATTATAACATGCCAGTGATTCTTCACTGCATTATCAGTTCTTCCCGGGAATAGCCTGGCAATCATAGCCCATTTGTTCCCATATATTCTATGTGCCTGCATTAGCCTATCTTCTTCTTCCTCAGTAAATGCTCTCCTGTTTATCCTTGGATCCAGCTGGTTGAACCACCTCAGCCTGCAGCTCTTGCCTTCAATTCACAAACAGTTCAAACAATATGCAAAATTACACACAAGAAATTAAATCAAAACATGCTCTGATGTCAGAAGAATATTATATTGTAAATTTTAAGTTCCACATGACCCACCTGATCTTCCTTCCAATTTTTCTGCTATGAGGTTCCAGTTCTGAGGGCCATAGAGAGCCACGAGCTCCTTCAGCTTGGCATCTTCTGCAGGCCTCCAATGGCCTCGTGCACAAAGCTTTGACTGCCCGGAATCTGCTTCTTTTCCCGTACTGACACCAGAATTCTCATTAGGGTTTTCTTGGTTATGATCCATCAGATTCTCAGGATCAGTACTAGAATCAGAAGCTTTACCCTCCAAAGCATCATCATTATTAGTATCGGTGGTACCAGTGTTGGGAAGGTGATCCCTCGTAAAGGCAAAATCACCCCAGCTGGTGCCCCCAACATTGTTATTTCCCATTTCAGAAGAAGAAGAGGAAAGAGAAAGAGAGCCCATGTCTGCATACACCATTCCCATCGAAGAAGACGAGAGATCAGAAGATGCGAGAGCATTGGGGTGTTCTTGAGAAGAATAAACGAGGCTGTTCCGCCAAGCTGCCTTCATTTCATCCCTCCTATCTCACAAGTCTCGGTGAAGGAAGGGTTGTAATGAAGTCACATATACTCAGAACAGCAAAAACAAGAGAGGATATATAAATACTGATGCATGAGGGAGGATATAGAGTGTAGCGCAGAGAAGAAGCAGCAAGGTCTGGCACTTTTGAGAGACAATGCCGAAGTTAAGGAAGAAGGAAAAGAGATGAGGGAAGTGAAGACTTGAGACAGCCAAAACAGCTTCAAGTTGTTTAGAGAGCCTTCGAACACAATCCTACACGGATTCTCCGCAGTCCCACACGCTCGTCCCATGGTTTCTGACCTTTTAAAGGAGAACGAGAACGAGAGGGAGAGGGATAGGGAGAGGATGAGATGGGGGACCCACCTAGAATGACACAACAAACTTGGCTTCCTAATTTACGCTGCTTGGCACAGCCAAAATTTCTTGTTACTACTGCACACGGGAGGTCAGACTGAAAATTGCAATTGAGAAGAATTCTATTATTTAGCAGTCAGAATTATTCTACAATATTAATTTAATTTTTTATTAAAATTTGCAATTTTTACAATTTTTTACATATTATAATATAATATATTTAGGCATATCTCCATTTATTGGTTACATGAACTCTAAAAAGAGTTAGTGTATTATCCTAAATTTCAATTCAAGAGAATTAATTATTAATTAGGAATAAATTAATAATTAATGAATTGATTATAGTTTTGGAGAGGGAATTAATGTATGGTATTGGTTGGTTGGTGTGTTAATAAAATTGAAAGGCAAGACGACAATCTAAAGCATGACGAGCAAGCATTAGTGAGAGTTATTTTATCATGCCACACGCCAATATTATAGAATTTACTTAAAGCTTAATGTGCTAACTTGTGAAAATTAGAGGAGAGGAGAAGAGAAAATGTGCCTAAGAAGAAGAGAAGAGCTCAGATCTACTAGGACAAGGATTATTAGAAGCTTAGGAGTTTGCTCCGACCAATAATTTGTCGGATAAGTTTCGCACCATTTTACACTACATATCTACCTAATTTCTCTAAATTTGGTTGATAGATAAATTGAATTAGGAAATTTTAAGAGGTTAGAATTAAAGAGAAAGGTTTTAAAAGGACTTTTGAATGTGAAGCTAAGATTTTAGACTAATCTAGGGTTTGATAGTTGAACATTAAGTATATAGGCTTAAATAAGCCTGAATCACTATGTTAATAGAGGTGAAAATGCTGGTTTAATGAGAAAGGAGATGTTTTGATTATTTGGATAATCTAAGGAGTAAATGATTATAGATAATGGATTTTGTGAACTCAAACGATGTTAATATAAACGTTTTATATGTTAAAAAATTTTGCTTAGCCAAATTAATACCCTGTGTGGAATGTTGAAAATTGAGTAAGGGATGTTTATTATGTGGATTGAGCATTAAAGGATTGCTCATGGAAGTTGAATTGATTTGAAAAGTTCAGCATGAACAGTAACCCTGGTAATAAGAGTAAAAGGGTATTGGAGTAACTCTTTTATTTGTTAGTTTGTAAAATGATTTACAAATATTTTATATGAATTACGTACATTGTGTTTTATGAATTGATAAAGTATCAATATTGTGAAAGAAATATGTGTGTTTATGAGTGATGTTTGTAATGTATGCAAAGATGCACATGCATTTGCATTCGCAAGTGTACTCTAAATTAAAGTAGGGAGTTGCAACCCCATTTTGTGTAAAGTTAAGAAGTCTTGAAAGGCCCTAAGCATTAATGATGATTTGCTAAGGAGGACTTAGGAGTATATGTATCCACAAATGCATTCTAAACTAGGATGAGTGATCATGGCCCCATACTGTGTAAAGCGAGAAAATCCTAAGCTCTTGATAGTCCAAGTGTTGATTGTGCTCCGTTAGTAAAGACTTAAGAGACCACCCATATTTATGATACATAATCTAAGGCAGTAGTTTGGTGGGCCTGTCTTATATGAGGTTGGAAGTCTTAATTCAGGCATTGAGCTTGCTCGGCTAGCTTTTTACGTCCGGTGTTCAATTTAAGATGAAACAGTTGGATCGTATCCAAACTTATCTTATTAGATATATTATGTTATAAGTTTCATGGAGGCTCTTTAATTACTCCAATCGAACATCAGATGTGAAAATGATGTGCGATAGAAGTTCATATCAAAAATTTACCATGACAGCAAAATCTTATAATGTATTGTGGTGCATGGTATGCAAGTCGCAGCACATGTCACAGGGGTAAAACATGTTGCTTTATATCATATGCTGTGATGCATATGGTACATCTTGCGACGCATGATCTATTTTTGAAAAAAATAATTGTTTAATTTTCTTGTCAAGTGGGTATGTGTCTACGTTTTTGTTAACCTTTTTTATTGAACATATTTTCTATAAAATTGAGATCCTAATTTTAAAAATAAATTAAAGATTATATTTTTATTATTATAATGAATTGTAATTTAAAGTATAGATGTGTAAGTAAAGCGTGAGAGGAAAATGAGAACTTTAAAGCTACCCATAAATGACTCATGATTATATCATTAATATGCTATTTCTATTTAAGTTCATGTAAGTTATGTTTCCTTTCAAATGAACTTCCATATGACGTTAACGTAAAAGTTTGATATGTATATTTTTAATCATAAAATCAATTAAAGTGTTTTGTGCACAAAAATATGATTCATTTTTTAATTTCAATTTTTTTAACGTCCTTTAGTTTTTTCGGATTTTCAATGTTAAGGTCATTTTTTGAATTAAAATATCATCATAAGAACTTATAATAGATATTTCAAATTTTTCATGAATACACGATTCATTATAATAAAATATAAAGTTATAAAAATCATATCATATTATTTATAAATTGAAAATAATTTGTCTCATTTTGAGTCTGTTTGCAAATGCATTCAGTAGTTTTTGGTATCCACAATGCCATTCTGGACAAGTTCACTATCTTCAGGTCAGTTCTCGTTAAATTTTAAGGACAAAAATATTTTAAAGACCGAAAGCCCACTAAACATATTTTATTTGATAATTGAAAATGTTGCAACGAAACAACATTAATGAGGCTGTGTTCGGGGGCTGGCCTATTAAAAGCATTGGAAAGTGTGTTGGTGCCTAAAATCCCTCCTCCAGAGCACGTACTCCCTCTCCTTAGCACACACCTTTTTTTAAAAGGATGATTTGGTCTTTTTTTTTTTTTTGGATAGTAAGTCAATAGTACAAAACATAATAATAAAATAAGGAAAAAAAAGGTAAAGAAAAAAAGAAAAAGCAAAAGGAAAAAGATTAGTAGCTGGACACTAGCAAAAGGATGATTTGGTCTATAATATGAGATATTTGTTGGTCTTTCTCTGATAAAATTTTTAAATTTTTCATTAAATAGGATAAAATCATAAAATTAAAAGTTTATTACTGTATCTTTTGATTGATATAATTAATGACTTAACTATTGTTAATGTGTTTTTTTGAGGTGGTTAAAAGTATTTTTTGTTTTTTTGTTTTTTTCTCTTACTTCAGGATGCACCATTTGATAAATAAAAAAAGTTTTAAAAATTTAACTATTTTAAATTATCTAACTCTCTTTATTTATCAACTCAATTTTTTATTTTCTTTAATTGTCTTCCCACTTTGCTTGCCTTTTAATTCTCTTCATCTCTTGACTCAATATCTCTCTTTAAAATTATTTTGCTTGGACTATTTAACTCTCTTACTTTCAAGTAATTTCTCATCTGACATAGAATTTTTTTAGACTATAAATGTCTGAGATTTCAATGTGATACTCACTTTTAAGATTTTAATTTAATTTAAAAATTTTGATCCTTCATCTTATTATGTGAGGATTATATCAATATGTCTCATATTTTTATTTTTGAAACTTTGTTGTGAATTCTAATATGTATTTAGACTTTTAAATCTTATATTTATATTCTAAATAATGTGAGATCTTGATTTATTTTATGTTGAATTTCAAAATTAAATTATATTTTTAAATGTTATGATGTTGAATTAAATTATTTTTTAAAAAATAAATATTAAATTATAATATTTATTTTTTTAATTCAGACTTCTAAACCCAATCTTGAACTCTTTTAACAAACGTTGAGCCTCAAAATTTAGTCAAAATTGTAAGATTAAGATTCAAGACTTAAGATCTCAAGGGTTGAGCTGAAAGGTAGAGTCTTTTTTTTATAAGTATTTAATTTAATACAATTGTTCATTTTAAATTTAAATTTAAAAAGTATTTATTAATTGAGTTACATGCTCATTGAAATAAAAAAATATTTTTAAATGCATAAAGAAATCAAATTTTATTATTATATAAAAATTTTGTTTGTGAATAATTTATAAATACTTTGTAAACAAAGGCACACTCTAATGCCAGTAAGCCGCATGATTTAATTTTCTAAATTAAATGACTGAAATTTTTATATTGGCACTAGTGACTTGTAATTTTAGGTCTGGGCAAATTTGCAATTTTACGGCACGTCTAGTTATAGGAAATGATTACAAGTCAGTCACACGTGTGAGAGTGAGAGAAAGTGAACAAGGGTGTGTGTGTCTCTCTCTTCCCCCATGGATGGGGTTGCAGGGATATAGGCTGTCTCTCTCAAAAATGACAAGGGCAGCGTCATGTGTGAGGAAGTGAGCTTAGTTAGGGTTTGTGGTGGGAAACGATGAGACAGCTTTCACGTCACAGCCCCAAAACACTAAATATATCATTTACCCCCACAAGCATGCCTTGTCTCTCCTCCCTCTAATTTTCCTCTAAATGAAGGCGTAGCTACCCCATGTTCCTCCATTAATCTTCTTCTGCCTCTCTCTCTCTCTCTATCTCTGTCTATCACATCAACACATCCACGTCACTGTGCCGAGTATTATTATTGAGAAAGAAGAGGGTTTAAGGCCTAACCTGGGTTTCAGTTTAGCACCTGAGGTTGACTTGACCACAGAAACCACACTGGATTCATTCATTCATCTTCCTCAGCTAATTATAACAGTTCATGAACTTCATTCCATTCCCTGCTCTTCCTTGTCTCTGTCCTCTTTATGTCATTCCCCTCTCAGCTCAGGTTTCACATTTCTTATCTCATTTTTCATCGACAGAAAATATGATATATAAAACATGAACACTGTTGATGTTGTTTGTCGTCCAGTTAATAGAAAGATGTGTATGTATATGTAAAGGAAGGCCTTTTAATTCCTGAGAACCAGAAATGATGGCAGGTCAAGATCCAAGCGAGTTTGGTTGATATATGAAGGTGCGGTCGGATGGCA